ATCTTTCGAAAGATAAAAAAGAAAAATGAAAGATCAAACTTAATTCTAAAAAGTTTGAAGGAAACGCTCCAATGTCCGCGTTATGTAACCTTTCGAATGGCGATTTGTTTTCCTTCTTTTCTTTTTTCTCACAACCATTTTTTTTGGATGCAGAGAAAGAATGAGGAGAGGTGGGTAGAGACAAGGGATCCTGATAGGGGGATAATTTAAACGATTATACATTTGTGTGTGAGTTTTGTTTCTTTTCGTCTCGTTTATTCTTCTTTTTTTTTTTTATCTTTTTTTTTTTATCTAAATTTTTTTTTGTAAAAAAATTATTCCGATGATTGAGAGATGAAGAAAGATTATTCTAGACAGAGACATCGGAGATCAATTTATTTTCAAATGTTAATCATTTCGTTCTAATTGATCATTTGATTTCTGAAAGATTGAGGAGTATGACGAGATTTTTTTCTTGTTTATAATATATATATATATATATATATTCTTTTTTTTTTTCAGTCTTGTACTTCTCCATAAAAATGATATAGGTCAGATGCGAGAAAATGATAGTGATGAATCAATTGCAGTTATTAATTGCAGTTAATAACAGATGATCTTAAACGATCGTCTGGAAGATGAATTTTTTTTTCTTTTTTTTTTTTTTTTTTTTTTTCTGAAAGAAGAGATTGAGGGAATCATAAAGAAACAAAAAAGAAAAAGAAAAGAAAAAAAAAGAAAAAAGGCGAAAGATAATAAAATGAAAAATGATCGTAAGATAAATCGATCGCAATATTACATTAAAGTATATTATGAAAAATATAATATAAAAAATATAATCTAAAAATTGGCATAAAAAATAATCGTAACCGTTCAATTTTTTCCTTTTTTTTTTTTCTTTTTTCTTTTTTCATTCACTCATTCATTCTTTTTCTTCTGTTCTCAATTTTCTTTTCTTTCTCTTTTTTTCTTTCTTTTTTTTTTTTTCTTTTATGAATTAAAAAGTAAATAAAATAATTAATTCGCAGTTAACGGTTATTAAAAGAAGGATGTAATTAAAAAATATAAACGTCGTGGACAAAATTAAGCGAACAGATTTAATGATTAATAAAATCTCAATGTAATTCAGAAAAATAATTTTATATAAATCAATACATTTAACGTATTACTTCTTAATATTAACAAAGAATAATTTAAATGAAATAAATCGAAATATCAATTATAATAATTGATATATTATAATATATCGTCGTTAATTGGAATTAAACAAGATTTCAGGTGGACAAAATTAATTGAACACATTATAATTATTCGTAAGATGTCCAATTAATATTTATTATACTTATTAATCTTTTCTTGAATTATCGCTTTTTAATCGTTTTAACACATCCTTTCTTAAATAATATAATTTGAATCAATTTTCTTGAAATTTTAATTACAATACTTTTAAAAACACCGTTGTTTCATTACGAAACACTTTATTGGTTTCCTTTGCAATTATCCTATTTTCATGATTCCATGTGTAGGGGTTTTAAAATTGCAACTCTATGCAAAAGAAAAACACTCCCATATCATTATGGAACATATTTGAGAGTAATTAATGTGTACTATTCTTTTTTTTCTTTCTTTTCTTTTTTTTTTTTTCAGAGCTTTCTTTCATCTTACACTACGAAACGATATATTAAATTTCACGAAATGAACACAAAAGTCTTTCCTTTTTTTTTTCTTTTTTTTTTTTTCTTAAATATATTAAAAACGCCTTCTTATGAATCTATCTTATTCGAAAGTTTAATGTACATGGAAGATCTACAATGATAATATCGTATATTGTTAAAGCTCGACGTTGGTTTACATTTTTTCCGTCCTTAATGCAAGAATTTCTTATCTGTCCATTTAATTCTGTCCACAGTCTCAAGGCCACACATATAAACAAATACGTGTAAATATTAATGAAAACGTACTTTTAATAATTTCATATAATAAAAATATATATTTTCTATATCAATTTATAAACGTTTTCAAACGTTAAATATTGTAAATTTTTTTTCTTTTTTTTTCTTTTCTTTTTTTTTTTTTTTTTTTTTTTTTTGTAACATGGTAAATGAAACAATGAAAGGTAATATAAAATTTTCTGCTCTGTTAATTTTAATTCTGTCCATGATCGTAATTAATTAGAGACAAATATGCAGGAAAGTCATCGATACGTTTTTTGCCTGTAAGCGCGTACGTGGCATTGATACACTTAATCGTAATAATTTTCTTTCTGATTGTTGCTACGTATTATATATATATATATATAAAAAAAAAAAAAAATAAGAAAAAAACAAAAAAAGAAAAACAAAAAGAAATATACAAAAAGAAAAAAAAAAAGAACGAAAAAAAGAAACGAAAAGAAAAAGAAAAACACAGAGAAAAAAAGAAAAGAAGAAAAAAAGAAAATGAATGTTACATCGATCAAAAGATCATAAAAATGTTTCATCGACGAAGAAACGTAAAGGACGAACCTACGTTAAGTATGATC